CTAGGCTCAGCCCCGATATTGAGCTTGAAGGCCATGATGATGAAGGAACGCGGTCGACCGGGAAATTGCTAAACGACCTTCGAGAAACCTATCACATCCTAGCAGAAGTTTCCTTCGTCCTCCCCAAGGACGATGATTGACCATGGAACCCCCACTAGGGTACATGTTCCTGTATAAGTCGTTCTTTTACGAGGGTGGGCTCTGGTTCCCCCTTTCGAGGATTCTGGTTGAGTACTATACTCGGAGGAGGATTGCCATGTCGCAACTGACGATCGCATCTATTAACAACCTGGTTGGACTGCTAATTATGGTTGCCGAGCTCGGAAAGAGGCTTTCCTGTGATGCCCTTGAAGAGTTGACTAGGATTACTCAAAAAATAAAGATTGGGGGTCGATTTTACCTCAGCATGTAGAAGACTCTGCTCGAGCGTCCTCCTGGCAACAAAACGATAAACTGGGAAGCACGTAATTTTTTTGTGAAGATTGATAAGGCTTCGGTCAAGAATCCTAACTCGGAGATCCGAGCTGGGTGGAATATGGCGACCGGTATTCTTTTATCTTTGTGCTTTTCTCGGATCGATTAACTGACGCCTGGTCTCTGCCTTTTTTGTTTTGCAGTTCGGCATCGTTGTGCTCAGCGTTTCCCAGAGGGATTTTCTGATTTGAAGGAGAGGTTACTCGCGTTGGGACTCCAGTGGTGGCTAGATTTCCTAGATCAACGAATCTGTCGAGCTCGTCTCCGCATACAATCGGGTGATTATTGTCGTATATTCTCTTTCATACAGCGCACTGGGTTTATCTCTCTCTGTTCGATTTTTTGAAGCTCATATTTGCTGTCTTAGGCCGGTACGATATCGAGCTCGTCCAACTTAGGCCTCCCTTCCTCGACCACAGAAGAGGGAAAGTAAGAAGTCATCTGGGAAGATGGCGAAAGGCAAGGAAGCAAAGAAAAATGCGGTCGTGCACAGTGTAGGCAAAGGTCTGATGGTAAAGCCAGGCATTGAGATCGTCAGCTACGCCGATCGGTAGAGGCTGTAA